AGACCACTGGAACGGGATGGAGCCACTCTAACTTGTTTACTTTCACTAATTGTCCTGCATAGCTAATTACTTACTATGGAAGACTTTCAGGCAGTTTGGGCACTTTATCCTAGTTGGGTTCCTTAACAAAGTCGGCTGGGTCTGTCTGCTGAATCCATCACTTACGCGTCAAATGACTAACTGTATATGCATTATGACTCTAGACAACAGTTGCTAATTACTTACTATGGAAGACTTTCAGGCAGTTTGGGCACTTTATCCTAGTTGGGGTCCTTAACAAAGTCGGCTGGGTCTGTCTGCTGAATCCATCACTTACGCGTCAAATGACTAACTGTATATGCATTATGACTCTAAGACAACAGTCCAGAATTTCAGACTATTTCTTCTACCGTAGTTCTACCTTTTGCGCCACTTTTGTATTACTTATAGAGCTCAGTTGCAGATGTTCCTCTTCGTATCCGCTCGGGCAAGTACATTTCGACACCCGGTTGTTTGACTGCCCGTAACTAGCCACCGTGTGGTCTATGCCATCTACGTATTTGTCCACATGTTTCTAATCTTTACCAGCTTGGGGAGGATTATTCAATCGCGTGGATTGATGTGGAACCTGCTGCCGGCAAGGGCCTTGTCCGATTTAAAGCGGCCAACACGGCAGAATCTGCCTTGAACAGGCTCAGATGTGCGTTTGGCGATCAACCAATTGTTTATGCGAACAGTGAACTGACTGGGCGTGTTCTCTCAGGTGAATTCATACTAGTGGTGCAATTGTTTGACGCTGCTTGAACCAACATATTTCTGCCTGTGACTCGAGTTTCATTGATTCATTTAGATCTTTCTTGTCGCATGCTGTTCTAGGTTTGATTGTTCATTCGGCAAGTCACTGCACTGTGCACTGTGCGAATCAACTGCAGAGATACGCGTGACCCAGCAAAAACAAGATCCCTTTTGGGAATCATCCAGTTCTCTCGTCCTCAAACCTGTATAAGGTTTGTTTGTTCTGTTAATAAATCCGGAAACAATGCTATCTAGCATCAAATTTTTTGGTCGATATTTTTCAACAATCCCCTTTCCAGGTCCTGCATTTTGAGTTGCAAGCACGGTATAAGATGTGCTCTTTCCACTCCTGGTGTTCCAGCTACCAAGGGTAGTCTTTTTGGGGTCTTACTGCCCTTCAGGTCAGTCATTAGGCACCCTGTGATGACGACTGCACATCCCTTGATTTGAGATGGCCTTTTCAATACTACTACTATTATCGTTTTTTTTGGAGAGCATAATCACAAGCATAAAAATTAAATGTAAGCGATAGATGTGGAAGAGTGTACAAGAGACTGTTAGATATTACGAGGCTAGTGTCATCCGAAGGCGCGCCATCGGCAGTTCAGTCAGATAGGATGAATCCGGAAGCCAGTCTGGCTACCGTTACCACGCCAGGCACTTCAAACTCCATACCTAAGCAGTATGCATCGGAGTTGGATATTCTGGTTATATATCCGGGAAACACGTTCTTGATATGCACGTCGTCGATTCAATATTGGCAAAGTGAGCAACTCTCGTAAACCGCAACTGTCACCGCTGTTGTGCAGACTACCCCCCAAGCAGCCACCAGCTCTTCCTTTGTTTTTGCGCATGCACCATAGACTGGGATCGGAAGGCTAACATGCTGGATGACCTTGCGAAATTTGGATTCATTGACCACATTACGTAGTACTCAGCGCTTGGTATACGGAATTTCTTTCATACACAGTCTCCCCGGCATCGCGGCGATTGCACTCAGATTTGGGATACCAAGTCTCCATGTTGGTTACCCGCGTGGACGCAGCTGATCGGGTTGTCCTTCGGTAACGATAGCCATCCATTAGCAGATTGCCTGGTGCAATCTTCCACCCTTTTGAGTGTGTTTCGGTGGAATTGGTCGAACACGAGGGAATGTCAGCCCTGGTATCAGGTAGTTCCTTGTGATCTTCATGCGCTGATGCGGCTTCTACGGGGCACGCGTAAGCTCACTGAGCAGTTTGAGTAGCTGTTATCGGTGGTTGCATTCTCTTTTTCCCTTGAAAGTGGTGTCAAAATATTTCCCGTTGTTCTTCGGATCCAAATGATTATTGAGTTCCCCAGCGAAGCAAAATGGTTTGATTGAGATTGCTGTCGCCGGGTGTTTCATCTCTCCTCAAGTCACCATTACTTTCATCTTTCGGGTGTTGATCTTCCTACCAACTCTTCCCAGCTCGGCTGCAGCAGCCTCAAGCTTCCAATTTAGACGATCCTGACTTCCTTCACACACAACTCAGTCGCGAAGGCAAAACCATCCACTAATGTGTCATGGAACTGGTATCCTAGTTGCGGCGTCGACAGTCCAAGAACCTCATCCATTGCCATGATGGGGAGAGTGGATCTCCCTGCCTCAAATCTCTGACACTGAACTTCGGAATTAGAGAAAACTGCTACAGGATTCCCACAGAACTATGCGATATTTTGAACCAGAGGTGATGGTGCTCCAACTGCCTCGGCGGTCGTGTCATACGATGCTGAACCAAACGGTTTCGGGATATCAGCAAACGCCTAGCTGAGGTTAGAAGCTGAAGAGTAACGAAGCACGGCGTGTAACAGCGGTGTAGCTTCCAAATAATCGTCTCGATATAGAAATGCAAACTGAATTAAGGGCAGTTGGAATATGCGGCTCCAGCGATCAGCGTGAACCTCATGAGAGCATGGAACAAGAATAAATGACACGGAGATCAGTCTCATTTGTTCGGTGGAGTCGGATTTGAGACCTTCGGAACTAGGGAAATGCGAGGATGACACAATCCGGCGGGTAACCTTTGATAATAACAGTAAATTAAAATACTCAACGAGGGTGTTGGCATTGAACTGGTGAAGCATCGTGGGTGTGAGGTTGTTCAGAATTGGGGGTGAATTTCCCATTGAACGGATTGTACGGTCGACTTCCTCACATGTAGTTAGCTCGATCAAACTTTAGTCGGATGGTAGCACTGCGCGACTTGGTCGGCTATCTGTGTTTTGGGTCAGAGAGCACCTGTTTCCAATACTGCTTGGCGTCCATAGGTAGACCACAGTTGCCTTTGTACAGATCCTTCCACGGTCCATCGAGCATAACAGACGCTGCATCTTCCCGTTCGGTAGTATGGGACCTGGATTACTGCGTACTTGGTTCGGTTGACCTGCTTCCGTTTGGGGGCACACGATGTGCTAGCTGATGACGGTGTCGGGAGACAGGATTCCACGTTTGTGAAAATGTTTTGAAGGCGTGGAGGTCCTGAAGTGACAACTTTTTCTGGTGTCGTCATGATACCGAACTGCAACCCTCGAGCAAATGCCAGGAGGTCATCACCGGCAACCGAACTGTCAGAGTGGGATTCCGAGAGTGATACGGCCCAATCCACGGTTTGTTTAGTCGGACGCCATAGTCATCAGCTTCGGACCAATGGGTCGCTGTTTGGCCGATGGTTTTGTCAGGGTCACCAGACGATGATTCGTCCTGTTGTGCTTGCCAGTTGAGCACATCATTATCATTATCGTCTGTCGATCAGTCATCGGTGTTGACACTGGTGCTCCACTGCCGTACAACCATAAGGTTCTTCTAGTTATACGTAATGTAATTAAAAGCCCTAGAATGAAAAGATGAGAAAAAGTGAGTGAGTGAGGGGACCTAATGCTGGCATATGTTGAGCATTCTGAAGTGCCTCCAACCGCTCAATCAAACAGTCTGCAAAGAAACTGACAGCAGTTGTAACCTGGTTTTGATGCTGACAGTCGATCGACCGGGAAATATTGCTCCAATCTCACGAACAGCGCGGTTTGTGTCACAAGACGGATGTAGATTGATAACCAGGCGCAAGAGTGGTTGTGATTGTTGCTGGGATCCAGAGAACACCGGAATTATTCACTCGACCATGCTTATGTTCCTTACGGGTGGGGTTTGCGTATTGACTTAAGCCACTCTTCATCGGAAAAAGGCGGGCAATCGGTGCAGGCTAATCGGGTGACCACGTTCGTTCCATCACTCACCGATGTGCATTCGGTGATGGGCTACCAAGACAGCTTTTGATTTGGAGCATTTGCCGCATTCCTCACATGCGAGCTCCATGAGTCTCTCATGTATACTGGTTGGAGCTAATGTGGAGGCGCCGGATGATTCGTGCACTTGAAAGTAACATGCACATTGAAACCGAACAGGATGATTTGCCCTATCTGGAGTTGCTGAACTCTTTGCTCACCCAGAATGACCCAGTCGACACCACGAGATGGCTCAGCGCGCCAGCTACTACTACTAATTATAATTATAATGACATTTATAATATCAATAACAACAATAATTATTACTATGGATAACACGATATCAGAGTTCGCCCATGATTCATTTAAAAGCCTCATTGTACAGAAAGGAATAAAAGTGATCTCCGCTGGACTGTAGATTGCCCGGTGTTTGACACACTAACCTAGAGGTCTGGCTGTTCGTGGTTCGAACCCAACCTCTGCATCTCGACTACTCCCTTCCATGCTTGAACAGCCTGGTAACATCTCAGTCTTAGTGTTTTCTTCGGGTGGCGTTGCAGATGTGTACCGAAATTGTATTGCAACGAACACATGGTCTCTGCGCTGTGGTAGCTCGTGCAATTTCGTTCTGGAACTTCCATGCGGAATCGGATCGCTTGCTTGTTCTTTGCTGCGTTTCGTTGCGCCTTTCAAGGGTGCGAAAGATGCACAGACCTCGACTGATCATTGAGAAGTCCTCGGACCGTGATGTGAAGCATGTCTACCAAACTGTCTACTGAAGTCCGTTTCAGACAACTTGACGTTAACTCTTGCTAGAAACTACTATCCTCAAACTCGCAAGATGTTGGGCGCTTCGACGGAGTAGTGGCACAATCAACACTATTTCTAAGTTCTATCCCGAGCAACCCTTTAAGATTACTCGCATCTCCAAAACATTCTTTCTGGTGTGGGGTACTGTACCACTCGACGAACAGTCGACCTTCATATGATAAAGAGCATCTTCGATGATCAAGAAGCCTGGTGAATCCAGAAAGGTAAGAATATGAAGGAGGGGAAAAACTCTGCAAATGTGCGTAGTCCGTTCCAGCTATATTTGCGAAAGGCTCTAAGAAGCCTTCGATGTGCGAATCAGCCACTGATAACGACTCACTTATCTCCGGAACAAAGGAGAGCGCCTAAATCATTGATCTGAACACTTTCGAGACCGAGTCAACAGAATAGTCAACCATGTAGCTGAACTATTTTCAGCTGTCAGATGTCTGGAGCGGTTGCCGGACTCCAGAGACCGTTTCTGATGGTGGTTCCCTCTTTCCATTTTAAGCCCGGTTGATATAAGTTCTACTTTTTCTCTACGCGATGGAGACTATCGGTAACGGAAAACCTTTCTCTATTGACAGTCCCTTATCAGTGTGCTGGAAGTAACCTAAATTAGTAGCCCTGCAAAATGCAGTTGAATTCGCCCATTGTCGGCATGCTCTAGTCACCATCGCATACTGTTCTCGACTGGCCTCTGGCCGGTCGAAGTAGGTGTGCGTAAATTCATTGCCGAGCCGTGCATGACCAACATAATCATTTTATGTTGGTGAAACGCATCCTCGCATGCTACCTGCTCACAAATAGTTGAGATATCCCACTCACCAATATTTTGAGTATTTGTCATCCCGTTTGCTTTTACTTGTATTAATTTGTGATTCATGGACCATTATCTCCCTTCATTTTTTGCAGGGGATGAGGAATTCTCACATTGGAAAACGATAATTGCAGCACAGCAGCAGAAGGCTCAGAAGCGTCGTGGAGAAAGAGGAGTGAGTGTAAAAGCCCTATGGACATGTTTTTCAAATGGTTACTTGGCTTATAATGCTAAAATTAGGTATCAAACCCGCTAATTCAGCAGTGCATTTTTAATGTAACTCAGATGCCTTACTGCAACTCAAGACACTTCGCGTTCAGCGGTAGTAAAAGCGTGACTAATTCATTCATGTAGTCAAAACTTTTTATTTTACGGCTGTGTTTGTATGTCCTTACTGTATCATGGTCCCCGACATTTGCATGATGACACAAGTAACCAGATGCTTTGAAGCCCGACCTATCGCTGTTTTCGATCTTAATGCAATCCTATCTAGTACTAGTTGTTCAGATTTACCGTTGACCAGTATGCCGAGCTTAACAATTAGCTTGTATGCGTTTCGTCATCAATAAAGGAGTCATATGTGCGCACTGATGACGTCATCAGCGAGTGCATCCGAGCTAGCACTATTTCGGTGCACCACCAATCATATCTGGCGATTTAGGCTTCCAGTCATGGTGGTGATGACTCGCGAAGCTCGGGATGAACAAGCGGTTAAGGCAAAAACTTACCGACGTGAATTAGGTTCGAATCCAACCTATGCGTCTCCACTGCTCCTGTTTAGACTCGGGTAACCTGGAAGTATCTCAGCCCTCGTGTTTCCTTCTGGTGCCAGCTGGGCCAAGCGGTTAAGGCAAAAACTTACCGACGTGAATTAGGTTCGAATCCAACCTATGCGTCTCCACTGCTCCTGTTTAGACTCGGGTAACCTGGAAGTATCTCAGCCCTCGTGTTTCCTTCTGGTGGTATGCCAGCTGGGCACGGAGAGGATGTAACAACTGAACGAAAGATGAAGCATCATTGTCGCACAACCAGTAGTTCATCGGGGAGAATTCTCAGATGAAAAACTAAACGACTAAGTATATAACATAATGTGATATGTTGGCGCAATTTGTATGAGCGCTTAATATTCCTGATTGCGAATTCTCCTTGATGCTTGGACAGTAACGCACCTAAGACCTTTTTCGAGTTCTCTGTGTCATCAAAGTGTTACACCAGCACCCCTTTTTGAGTCATATGACCAAGAACCAAAGGTTAGTTTTTGCGGGCAGCGTTATTCCATCCATAAGTGGTGAGACGGCGACCAGCTCTTTTGTCCCAGGTGATATTAATCAACACTGCTCAGCCTCAGGTTTAAACTGTCGGAATTACGGAAACGGCAGCTACTTCGCTCCTTGTGTACTAAGACGTCCACTTTCATTGGATTATTTCACTCCGCTATTTATTTGATTTTGAATGTCCTCATGTAATATCGAACCCCCCCCCCCCCCCCCCGAGAGAACAACGTAAGTGTCTCCATAAAAAGGACAGAAACTCAAAACAACCACTGTTTATTGACTGAATCAGTTTGATGGATCAGTTCCAATAGATTAGGTGCGTTAGGCATTTATCGGAATGTAAGGGCAAAGTTTGCTTTAGTACCTCATCGTGTTCAGAAAAGTCACTGGAAGAAGACCCGACCGATGAATGAAAAACTTATATCGTTGCATCTGCATCACTTCCGTTTATTTCATTTACAGGGTGGACGCGGTGGCGGTGCCAACAAACGGCGTCGGATGAACTGAATGCACAACCGTGCTTGTGCAAATCATGCTCACTGATCTTGTGTATCTGTACACTGTAAATACAACCGTTCCCGGAAAATAAACTACGTTCGAACCATCTTACTTTTCAATTGACAAACTGATTTGTGATACAGTGCACATATCCGCCGGTCACTGCTGTACTGTACATTAGGCGATCCCCGTCATAAATGAACACCTATGAAGCCAAATAAAATTGCACTCCAGTGCTAGAAAATTGGCTTTCGTGACTTGGACTGAGCCTGAGACGCCACCAGGCAGTGCATCTACAAATCTATGTCCCATATTTTGTCATTTATGAGTCGTTAGACCATCTGTCTAAACGAATAGAACTCGTATATCCACTCACTTGCTATGACGCATTTCTTGTTTGCTCGGTTCGTCTGTTCTCCGATCGTGACCACGGTTTGGTTCTTCACCGTTGGGCTGACCTGAACTTTCACTGCTTACTTGTGGTGGCATAGTTCCTGGGCGAACTCGCGAGAACATTCCTCATTGTGGGTTGTCTAAGAGTTTTCAGCAACTCTCCCTTCATGAAGATATACTGCGATTTCTCCAATATCGTGCCAGTTGAAACATGAGGTGGTTCCTGTGCGGCACATTCAATTGAGGAATATCATAGGCGAGAGATTCAGTTGAGTGTCCCGTTAAAACCAAACGGATATGCCAATGAGTGTATGTGCCGAAATTCCTCATTATTGTTATTGCCACCGCGTGCATTACACCGATACGGGCAGGTGCCACAATCAAGCACACCAATATGGCTTTTCAATACCACAATGTTCTCTTTTCACTTATTAAAATGGACTCTATCTTTTGCTTTAGGTACTAGGGATCTTGTCATATCCCGATTGTCTTTAATGATTCCCTAACACTCTTACTTTGGAATAAGCCATCAACGTAATACTTGTTATTGTATCTGATATACGAATACAAACTAAGAGTGGTGGACAGTAGATCCTACTGGTCTCTACTCTGTCATTTCAGCTGTTTCTTCATGGGACGGAATTCCTCAGCTGATGGTATAAGGTACATGGGTGATGACGATCAAAACAAAAAGCACAGGAAGCTGTCAATGAGAGTGCGGCGGCGATCAGTGATTAGTCGCGTCCCACGGGCCAGTACAGGCTTTTCCGACCGTCGACGACGCTTACAAACGACTATTCGGGAAATCTACAACGGTATACGCCGTAATGTATTGGTATCGAAGTGGTCGCAAGTTCGGACTCTGATGACTTACAATCGTCGTCTGCTAACCGAACAACTAGCCGTTGTCAAGGCTGCAAACTTGGCTGCATCCTCTTTGGCTTCGGATTCATTTTTTGATTCTTTAGATCAAGTAAACGGAGATCCCTCAGGCGCCTATCCGTATCTTCTAGCGGAACCGGTCGAAATCCCTCAGATTTACAATCAGTTTGGTCGATTTGAAGCCAAGATTGGAAACAAAACATACCGTGTTGGTTTAATAATGATACCACAGGTAATTCTGTCTCGAATTGTTTTTTCGGCTACGTCTTCAGCTCATACGTACAACCGTGTCTCTCGTTTTTTGGATCGCGATCCCACTATTACTATTACCCAGACATTTTTCAGTGACGATTAACCCAACATGGCGATAGTCCGCAATACTATACCTTATCTACAACTACTTTTTCCTGATATGACTTAACTCGTTTTGCGCTGCAACAGTCTAGAACTTGTCACGCAATGTTGCAGTCTTACAGATAAGGCAAATCAACGTGAGATCTAATCGCATTTATTGATTCCCAGCTAAATGTGGTCTTTCTGTTGGAGTGTTCGAATAAATACCCATTCATGTAGGGCAGCATTAACTAATCTGTCATGATTGTGAGTGAAGTCAGTCTGTGCTAATAGACCAAGAAACACTGTGCAGCAGTGTTTCATCCTTATTCAGAATCATCCGCATCCCGCAAATTGCTGTCGTGATTTCAATTACAAGACTAATTCTCGATTGAAATTCCTGGGTCTCATGCCATCAACTCTATAGCCCAGAAGGTGTCAGGTAGGTCAAATTCCCGAAAATGGTCCCAGAAATTTCAAAACTTACTGAAACCCTTAAACTCCGGTAGGGCATCTGTCAAACACCCGAATAGCCCAGAAGGTGTCAGGTAGGTCAAATTCCCGAAAATGGTCCCAGAAATTTCAAAACTTACTGAAACCCTTAAACTCCGGTAGGGCATCTGTCAAACACCCGAGCCAGAAAAGCCAGCTACCGATTGGACGCTCGAACAGTCAATCAGCAATGGCAGACGGTGATCGGTGTTTGGGCATGTCATAGAAGCCACGCCAATCAGTCACTCGACATCGACCGGACAGGCTGGATTTCGTGAAATACGCGCTGCAGATGATTTCTAATAGGGATGAAACAGCTGTACGGTACTTCTGCGCTTTTCGCCATGGGCTGACTTCATTTACGAGACGAAATACCGATCGAAACTTCCAGATTCCATCTTACTACCAATAAATGGTTCTTGTGAATAGCCCGGATGGAACCCGGATAGGTTCTCTACGTTGCGCTTACGTATACGCTGACAAACCCTTGTCGGCTATTTTTAACACATGAGCCCTATTTATAATAGTACACTCGGTGTCTAGTGTCTACCTGAACTTGCTTTGGTTAGAGAAGCAGCGAACAACCATAGTGATACTTTTCCCCACCCTGACGAAAACCACTGAGAATAGTGGCAAACAGCCGAGCTCCATGGGTATCTCTGCTTCTCAGGGCCGAAACATCCTTGTGGACGATAAATCTCGATATCTTCCAAAACTTTTTCCTCAAGCGAATACTTCGCCTGCTCAGTTCTTTTCAACATACTGCGCCCTTCGAACTTTCAGCAACAGTGTGCAGTCCGTAGCACAAGTGGATCACTCATGGCACCGAGCTCGAGATAGCCCAGTGATTAGTCTGCTGACCCACTGATTGAAAGGTCTGCGGTTCGAATCGAACTCCACACTATCGACTGCTCCTGTCTATTTCCGGGTTCCGTAACAATATGACAGTCCCCTTGCTTTCATCGTAACCCTTGAAGGCAAGCTTCCGGTTGTGTAAGACTGCACTAATCTGAAGGGACGTGTGTATCAAACTACAGTACGGGCTGTCTTGTTGTATGGCTGTGAGACTTGGCCTATTCGAGCAGCGGAACTGAGACGTCTTCAGGTGTTCGACAATCGTTGTCTGAGAACCATAGCTCGTGTGGGTTGGTGTCGACGAATCCGTAACGAGGCAGTTAGAAAGCGCGTCTCCGGTTGTGCGATGGGTTCTTCCATTGAAGAATGTGTCCAGCACCAGAAGCTGCGTTGTTTGGAACGTGTGTTGCGTATGCCGAACCATCGTTTGCCGAAGTGAGTGCTGTTCTCCATGCCCAGTTCAGAGTGGCGTAAACAGACGGGTGGCCAACCCTTGACTTGGCAGAGGAGTATGAAGGAGATCACGAAACGCTTGGGTGCTGTCGGTGCTACTCGCCTTCCAGGATGGGGACCGCGTGATCCTCACTGTGCCTGGTTGAAGACCGTACAAGATATGGCTGTCAACCGATGTCAGTGGCGTTCTTGTTGTCAGTTTCTACCCAGATCGCCTGAGTGAATGTCTGGAGGTGTAGGCACCTTGGAATGATTGTGTTAATCTATCACTAATTCCCTTCCCCGTCCACCATTCTTTTCTTTACGATAAGGCTTTCAAATAAGTCATGGTTGTACGGCAGTGAAGCATCAGTGTTGAACATGGATGTCATGCTGTCGGTGATGATGACGACTGTTTTGCGCGCTCTGATTAAGATGTAACCATATCAATTCGAAATGAGTTCAAGGAGACCGGAGTCCGAGTTGACATTTGAAAAAGAAAACATCAGCACTGCTTATTTGTACACCTAGGATGCCTTTCATGCTCTCTGTCAGCATCATTACGTGATTCCTAAACTTGCAATGATATATCCTTTTGTAATTGTTCGAATGATTTCTGCATCTTTGAAACGGTGCGTTAGTCGATAAATTGTCAGCAAGTGCAGTGAGACTGATCAAAGACAGTAGCGTTTTTCGCTTCTGTGTAGTCAACGTTGAGTCGGTTTATGACTATCCTCTCCGGTAGTGTTTGTCTGGGGAGAATGGATGTAAACTCGCAGGAGTTGGTATTTTTGCCTTGGACGCTTCATGGGTCTCATTTGCTGTATTTGTCAGCAGCCGAGCACGTGAATGCAGTAGTCACTTCCTGTGAGACCGTGCCGATGCGATACTTGCACAGCTCACCTAATTTGACGCTTTTTTTTGTTGCACTTCTCTTACTTTTTTTTAGGTAGATTCTGTTCCCAATGTTTGTACTTGGGCTCCTGTGCAACACAACTTCTCGGTCGAAGATGAAACTGAGTTGGCCAATTTACCCTACATGGGTGATGAACAGGCTCAAGAAGACGTGAGTTTCTTGGAGGAACTGTTGAACAACTATGATGGTCGACTTCACGGAAATTTCCCGTTTGAATTTGAGGAGGAGATGCTCATCCCGTTGGTGACGGAGGTTAATAAACAGTGGCCAGCAATTAGCCGTCAGTGTGGACTACCCAGTCAGAAGTTGGAAAAAACGGAACCAGAACAGTCGACAACAGCTTCTACTGTTATGGAAACTGAACCAACCAAGTTAAACCGAGAAGCGCTGCTTACTCAGGAGTCGCCAGGTCCCGGGTTTAAACGATCGGACAGATTGAAACGTTGCTGGGACGAGGTGGATCAAACGTCCGAGAAGTGTTCATCGTTGCTGGTCTCACGATCTTCAGTTTCCAAACGCAGTCGACGTCCTCGCTTGTCCAACCAGCTAACGACTGAAGTGAGTTTGTTTTCTAACGGACCAATACTTTGCGCACGACACCTGCTATGCGCAGCCGCATAATACCTTATTCCTTGCGCCCTAGGATTTGACTAACCCCCTTTAGCCGAGTGGGTCAGACTATTAAATCATCGGCCCCCCCGAAGAAAACCCCACTGTCCGCTGTCTCGTGCATCGGAATCTGGAATCAGAGGCTAGGGCCGGGTCCTTGTACAAAACCCTACATCCTCCTACTGCCTTGTGGGTCGGACTTTTGAATTAAAGGCTCAAGGTGGGGCACCTCAACCAAACCCCCTTCTTCGGCCTAGACAACCAAAAAGTATCATCCGCCCGGGCGGTTCGGTGTCCCCTGATGTCCCTCCCCAACTCCCTCCCACCACACAAGCAAACATTACTGGGTCACTTGTCTGTCAGTTATCTGACCGAAGGGCCTTATTCTTCTCGCCGCCTGTTAACAGCCAACAAAATAGCACCCTTCTAAATCCACGAGACCCTTTCTATATGGGTGCTTTTAACGCCCGTCAAATCGGCAAACAGACAATGCTTCCTTAAACCCTGTATTTCCCTAAAATTGATGTGTGGTGTGTCCCGTCACGAAGAGACTGAACCTTACCGTGGTGTGACGGTTTGCGCACCTCAGCGATCCATTGAGCTATACTGGAGAGTGTCTCGCGACACTCACAGGGTCTCATACCAGGTTGGTCAATGGTTAGAGGTCTGACAAACAGTCTCCTGACCCTCCAGGTTGGGGGTTCGAACATGTGGCGACTTGTTCCGTAGAAATGGTAATGCATTTGCATTTCCCGCCAAACACCGCTGCCTTGCGGTTAGGCTTTTGATTGGGGACCCTAATCGTCCTCCTGTCTAGGTGTGGGCGCCCTGGCATTATCCCAGCCCACGTACAACCATGAATTGCACATACACAAATAAACTCATGCCACATCGGCCGTCGCGTGGTGCCATCAGCCGGGTCGCCTTACTTGCTGCATACAGCAGGGCGGGTAAGCGAAAACAGGCTACTGCTGACGCCTCCCTTCTTTCTCCTTCACATACTTTTTCTTCCCCCTCTCCCCACCCCATTAATAACTCTCTCCTTGTAGGCCCAGCACTTAGGACTGACGACTCCGTTCGTCATGCATCGGTTTTGCGTGCAGCATCTGCTCGTCACATGGTGCCAACATCTTCAGGAATCTC